GTGCAGTAATTATACATTATCTCAAAACCTTGACATTGTGACAATCAAAGATTGTTTACAATCTAATTTTAGCAGGGGGGGAATACCAACTCTAAATATATATACACAATTCAGTTTTATTGATAAACACTCTGAACAGCTGCTAAAGACGTGTTAGAGCAAGGCGGAGGAAACTTTCAAGTAAGTAAATGATATTGAAGTTAATATCGCAAAGAATAGGGAATGCTTTGAAGAAATATATAGTACTCTTTTAGCTAGACGTCTCTTTTATCATGTTAATAATTATACCTGTTTCAACATCATGAATATTTCGTTATTTGATTCTCTTATGATTTTCTTAACATTTGCTTTATATCGAGAGTTATACATAAATATCTGTTTTAAAATATAATTCTAAATATACTTTTTCATGCAAGGACTTTAATCAAATCGATCGAGATATGATCTGCATATATATATATTTTTCTCTTGATAATGGACCATAATTATCTGTTTGCATAAATTGCTATTACCTTAAGATCAAAGTTATAAATAGATCCACTGTAAACCTTTTTAGTATTCTTAAAAGTTTTTCAAAGGAAAGTCAAGCACAATTGATTTAAATAAGAGGGTTTTCTCATGCAAGCGAGGTCATGACTTGTTTTATAGGATTTTCATATGCTCGAATTACACAACTACAGGAAACGTACATTTAAAAAAAAACCCTTGTTGTCCCCGGAATCGGAAACTTACTCATCAATTGATCATTAATCACGTTTTGTCAGTGCGATGTCGGTAAAGCCAACAAGAATGAATCGATAACTTAATAAACAATAGATATCATTCATATTAGCTAGGCTGATTACTTTTGCATGTTTTGAGAAAGTATAAATATAGTAACTGACGGTGCCAGTAAATAACTTGGATATGCTAATGATGATAAGGTACATCCTCCCGGACAATCAGAACAAAACATGTAAATACAAAATGTAAATATCCACTCTGTTCATTGTATTGTAACCTAGCTTGACCTGTTGTATAGAGAGGGTATTTATAGGCTTAAGCCTGTTGCCCAATCTATTCAGTATTATATATACTGAATAAATATTGTTTAAATCAACATGTATACTCGTTTAAAATATATAAATTCTTTGATCAATATTCTGATAATTGTACATGTAGAACATGTATACTAATAGAATATAAACCGACCTGTTATAATTCATAAATTGATAGTAATGAGAGTTTTCTGTCTTCACTATTCCTCAGGCATGCAATATATTATACAATACATATAATTGCTGTTTTTTTTTCAGTCATTACGATGATTTAGCCATCTGAAGCTTCGAAGATAGCTAAAATCATCATTTTGACTGAAAAAAAACAGCAATGATTGTTTTATTATATGATTCACTGATAAAATGATATACTAGTAACTCGATCATTACAAGAATAGTGTTTGCATTTGATGAAATTATAGCCAGTCACAAAGAGAGTTCTAAGCAGCGTTAAAATGTAAATATTTACATTTGCAAATGTTTTCCTTTATATAACACTACTGAAAGCAAGCGTATTTATAAATACAGGTACGGGGTCAAGAGGTCATAGATGTGCGTATGGATAAACGTTCGACGTAATTTCTCAGTGACGTCATAAAGGGTCGACGCGCGTTCAGTGGATTACATACATGCCGTTGGGTTTGAAAAATAATGCATTTCACACGTTAAAAGTCACAATCAGGCAAATTTAAAGTATGAATAAGTCACAAATGTAAATATAAGTAATAAGGTATCATTTATCCCAATGAAACTCAAAAAATGATACCTTATTTCTTAGATAAACCTTGCCAGTCGTAAAATGATTTGAAATGTTTTAAATCTATTGTAGTTGCCATAAATAGATATAATATCAGGCTCTTGTAAAGGATAGATTTTGAAAGGAAGGTATTATCATGGAAAACTGACAGCTAAAAAATAAAAAAAATGCTTAGTAAAAGTATAAGAGGAGGGATCCCTGCATCACCTCCTACCACCCTCACCCGAAAATATTATATTCTCTCATTCATTTTTGTTAACATGTTTTGTTCACATGGAATTTCCCGATCTATTTTTAGATCAATGTAGAGAAAAAAAATGAATCCTTATACATGTGTATTTACCTTAACGTCACGTGCAGGTAAATGTAACGTAGCATTTTTTCCACAAAGATGGATCTCACCCAATCAGAAAGATAGGAATTATTCAATCATATAATAATTTTATTTATTACATTGGTTGCACACCTTGGGCATATATGTATTTTCTCTTAGGCATATGTTTATCAGTTTAGAGAATCAATTGTAAACTCATATTTTTGAGCTAGAGTTCAGTCAAATGAAAAGAACCATTTAAGGAGTTTCTAAACTTAATTGTACAAATATTAAAAAAAAGTTCTTTATAGATTCATTGATCTAAGAATTGTCGATTATATTTAGGCATCCGTCAGACAAAGTAAACCTAGGAATGAATCACCTTTCATCCAGGCTGAATCACAATATTAAACAAGACGGAGAAAAAAAAAACAAAAAAAAAAAAAACAAAACTTTCTCATTACAACAGTGCCAGGAGTTTTAGATATGAGTGTCAATATGTAAGTTTACAGTTGGCAGATGATGTTTACTCGATCGATTTTGAGTATTATTATGTATACCTATTTACTGGCTATGAGAAGAATAACAAGTTCATAAGACCCCAATGCAGCAAATATTTCCCGAGGTGCAATCAAGTACCCACACTTTAGCTAGAACCACCGACCTTTGGGTTACTGGCCCCACGCCTATGGTCATAAAAGGTGAAGTTCAAGAACAGTCATAAAATCTATAAACAATACAAATATGCGGAGAGAGTGGACCTCTGAAAATTTCAAACGTGGGATCAGGTGCTGAGAAGGAGTAAGCACCCCCTGATGACCTTTCACACCCCATATAAGCCTTATATATTATTCGGTAGACGGAATATACATGTAGTAGTCATAATCAGTGTCAAAAAAGGCCTAACGATTGGTACGAAACAAATCTGTCAAAAAATAAGACCGAATGATACGTTATGTTTTGCTAGCAAGGCCATCATAACAATCATCGATTTTACAAAATGCCGACTTAAACGACATGAACGAGGTTATTGGAATCCCTGTAATATCAACTTGTTGTGTACTCAGTAGTAGCATGCCTCGCCTAAAAATTGATCGTACGCAGAACATTTTCTCGAATCGCTTAAAAAAGAGAGGCATTTGAACACCATAAGCAGGTGAAAGTGGAATATTACTACCGGGTATTCATATATAAGGACAGTTGACGATGAAAAAATCATCTCGTTTAGTATGTCATACAATTTTAAAAGTTAATTCTCTCTAGTCAGTAAAAAATCCAAAAATCAAACAGATGTGGTGTCTTTTATTTCAAGTTCATTTGGATATATCAAGTCAAGTTACTGGTATGTGCACGTCAATTACATTGATTTGTTAATTGAAAGAAAAAAAAATCGTCGATATATACCTGGTATCTGAATGTCGCATCAAACGCCTCTGCTCGTGAAGAAGTTTTTTTCCTCAATAAATTCTGCTTTATAGGAATCAGAAAAAGGTTAGCTAATAAAACACGTTTTGTACCCATAGGATTTCCAACAGTTGGAAAAAAATGGTATCTGAAGACTGCACGAAGATTACATAGATGTTGTCAATGAAAAACTAACGTCCTTTTAATTTCATCTTTATTATACTTTTGTGACCAATCAGGGTTGTTCCTGACCTCTGTTTTGATTAGAAAGCAGTTGTCTATGATATCAAAAGTCTCGAATTGAATTTATCCTGATGAATTGTTGTATTAAGTGCAGGAAAAAGTTTTGAAGTTATTGTGAAAAAATTCGTGATTTAAAATTTCTGAAAGATTTTTTTAATTTTCGAAAATTCCCATCTCATATTACATGTTTATGTATTTATTATAAAGTAATTATAATAAAAGTAATTATTAATTGCGAAAGGTCAAGTTTATTGTACTGTTGCTATGGTATACTGTGGTCCTTTATTAGCTTGACATAATTTTGAATACCTATTTAAAACTTCTACATTAGAGGGAGAAAACTCTACTGAGGCGTTCAACTAGACATTGAGATAAACCGACAGATTGATTGATTGATTGTATACTGTTTAGCGTCCCTCTCCAGAATATTTCACTGGTATGGAGACGTCTCCATTGACGGTGAAGGGCTGCAAATTTAGGCCTATGCTCGGCACTTATGGCCTTTGAGCAGGGAGGGATCTTTATTGTGCCACACCTGCTGTGACACGGGGCCTCGGTTTAAACGGTCTCATCCGAAGGACCGCCCCTTTAAGTCGCCTTTTACGACAAGCAAGGGGGGTACTGAGAACCTATTCTAACCCGGATCCCCACGGGGCTAAACCGACAGAGAACAAGCAATTAAGAAAAGTCACTTTCATTCATATGTCGATTTGATATATCTCAGTGAACGTGAAATGAAAGACACCACAGACTCAACTAGATCTTCTTCATTATTGAATGGTTTACTAACTAAAGACAATAAACCTAAAGGATCAGATAACAAGTAAATTATATGACAAACAATATGACATAAAGTCAACTGGCCTTATATATTTATGTAGTAATATTTCAATATCACCTGTTTATGGTGTTAAATTTTATGAACTTATTTTAATACACAAGAGCATGTTCCCGATCAAATTTTAAACAAAGGCAGGTTACTGACAGATAAGTTGATGTAAAAAGGATTTCAACGACTTTGTGTAAAGTCGGCAATTTCTAAATTCTATTGTCGACACAGTGACAATGTTAGCATATCATTAGGTTGTATTTTGCCTGACTTGTTTCATACCAATTGTTAGGCTTAAAATGGCTGGAAAACTTATTAGAGATGGAAGGCAGTTCTACTTTCTATTAGTAGAAGAAAATAAAAACTAACTGTAATTTTAATTTTTTTAATGTACTGTATTTTTTGTTTATTTTTCAGCAAAACGAAAATAGAATGACATAATATTTGGAAAGATGATATAACGTCTATAAATGGGAGTGGTTATCTATAACGAAATCCAAAGAAGTAAACCACAGCGGTATTGCATGTGGTCAAGTCAACCAAAACATGAAAATAAGTGCACTGGGTATCACAAAGTTTACAAAATAGTTAAAATAATCAACGTACTCAGGGACTTCCGGTTTGTGCCTAGCGAACAGAGACCCTCGACTTCAGAAGAGTCGGGATCGGTAGACAATTCCTTGTATTGACTTATATACAGTGTTGCTTTGGTGCAGGCTTACATATACATACTTTTTAGCATATAATTTTCATCAGCAAAATTATAATAAAGATGATGCACAGTAACTGTAGTGAACCTGATTGCAGTTTATGGTATAGTCGTCACCAATCACAGTCTACGTCATATGACGAGTTTGGAAGTGGCGCGAATGTTCCCGATAACGCCACAAGAACAAACAGACATGTACCACAGAATTTACCTTCAGAAGCTCCAGGAGGACATACAGCAGACAAGGCTCTGAGACTAGCAAGAGAATACGGCATCAATACATCTAAACCAAAGTACCAGCAATACGCTGTAAAGGCCACACGCCTCAACACTTTCGAAAACTGGCCTGCGTTTTTCACCCAGAAGCCAGAACAATTGGCAGATGCTGGGTTCTTTTACTCGGGTATGATTCTTATAACCAGGGAATTAACTCTTCACAGATATCATGTATTTAATGAATTGGTTTGTATAGAATCAATGTATACTATACGTCATCTCGGAATGTCAAATACACGTATATTGTTTGTATATATGTAAGTCTCTTTTCTTCCGAATTATTTCGCCACAGGTTCTGCCATGAAAATAAAAAAAGATTTAATTTCTTTTCGTTAAATCTCGGACAGTAACATTATAGATTTGGAAGCGAGTTTAACATTTCATTGCACAGAGCTTTGTCCCCAATTTTTTTGTTACAAATTAGCAGTAAACATGCAGTTCTTAATTCCTTATTTAATCAGAAAATCTTGTAGCCTACACGTTAAGAAAAAAACTAAAACTAGAAAGTTTAACAACGTAGTATCATTGTACAGGAGACGAGCTTTTTTTTTTTTTAAATCATAGCTGTAGAAAAGTTAATAACCTGAAGAACTTGTCTTTCCATCTATTTGTTTAATCAACTATGACGATAAATGCATTAAAATGCCCAAACATAAATCTTACACAGAGATTCATGGGGTTGGGGTGGGTACTGAACTTAAATTTATTGAAATTTAACAGTCATGATGCCTATAAAGCTACTTTTACTACATGCAATGAAAGTTGTGTTTTATATAATCATGTCCTAATATTTTGTAGGAAAGAGTGATGCTGTCTTCTGCTTCTTCTGTGGTCTGGGTTTACAGGAATGGGAGGAAGGGGACACGCCGTGGGGAGAGCATGCGCGGTGGTCTCCTGAATGTGTCTTTGTAATCAATGTCAAAGGTCATGACTTTATCGAATTAGAGAAGCTGCGGAACACGAACCCAGATGAGGTAAGTCTATTTGTAATAATGAAAGGACTGTGAAATCTTTATAATAGTGTTTATATTTGAATGTAATATGTCCAAATAGTATTCAATGTTAAAAACATAGTAAATGATGTATATTACCAGAAATAAGTGTTTGTATCAGTGGTAAAAACATAGTATGCGATGTATATAGTTATCAACAGAAATAAATGTTCGTATCAATGTAAAAAAAAAATAGTATACACGATGTATATTGCCAGAAATAAATGTTCGTATCAATGTTAAAAACATAGTGTATACGATGTATATTAACAGAAATAAATGTACATATCTGTATGTAATATCAGTTATTCTGAACATTGATAATAATATTGGTAATAATATTTTATTATCAGTGATATGATACTTATATTCTTATTCATGGATAAAGTAGAGGTGATAATGTCTTACTTCAGTCAAATGACCATTATTTCAATGGTTTCCTCTATAACATTGAAACCGATGTTATTAACTTCTTTTGTAGTACTTTGCAAGAAGGGAATTGTACTCCAAAGACGATAAATCTCAAGGTATTTAAAGAAACTTGTAAATAAAGTACATGTATGAAGTATTTTTTTTAACTAAGAATATGCATACAGTTTTTTTTAAAAAAGGATGAAATGAATTAAGTTTATAATTTTCTAAAATATTATTCAAGGAATTATTCGGAGAAGACATATTTGTAGATATCGTATATACTCGCCTATAAGTCGGTTGTATTTTTTGACGTTATTTTTGGGGGATTTGCTATTGACCCGCTTATATAATAAGTCGGTACAATTTTTTGCCAAAATCGGGTGACAATTTCAAGTAAATCAATTGATGTTTTAACCTGGTTTCAATTAATATTTTTCGAAATGATATTTAATCTTAAATTATTAAACAATAAGGCAATGCTCACTTAAAATACAAATAACTTTTTTTAAAATATGTAAAATCTTGTACTTTATATGTATAATCTAAGAATACATAAATATCATATATTATATCCAGACATTTTCTTCGATAATCGTCGGAAATGCAAATAAAATACTAAATTTCAGCCTCAAGAAAAATATCTCTTTATGACTCGCCTATAAGTTGGACATGGACTTTTAGACCAATATTTAACTTCCAAAATACCGACTTATAGGCGAGTATATACGGTAATTATAACAAAACAATGTTGTTTACGTAGCGATATAAGCCATTATCACCTGGATTTTGATTTTTTGCCTCCCATTTGATTGGATACACAAGAACATCTATGTTCAGACAATTTTTAAAAGAAAGAAAGCTTTTGACAAATAAGTTGATGAAACAAGGATATCAACAATATTTTTTAAAGTCATCATTTTGGAAGTTCTATGGTCGGTATATGACCTTGTCAGCAAATACAATCAATCAATGAGTCGATTACTGACTGTTTTCATACTTATTGTAGACCAGAATTCCCCTTTTTATTTTTCAATTTTTCCTTTTGGCCAATAATGATAAAGAAAATGCATACAGCAGGTGTGACTGGTCGACAGGGGGTGCTTCCTTTTCCACGGCACCAGATCCCACATCTGACTTTTTTAAAGACACGTGTCGCTCTCCTGATTTGTATTGTTTCAATAGAACTTTGAATTGTTCAACTCTCCATATTTTATTCCCGTTGGCCTTTTCATTTTTTGTGTATTTACTTTTTTCAATTTCCAATATTTTAGGAAAGTCAAAAATTGATACTATGAATAGTCCAGCGATTCAGAGCTTGCTACAGAACGGGTACGAGGAATCAGTAGTTAAACAAGCAGTTACGTTTTTCCAGAAGCAGAACAGAGGTAAGTCTTCCACCAAAAATAAAGCAAATTCAATAAATTTCCAAAAAAATTTCGCCATCATAATTTGACCTGTGCTGTTGACATTGTAGGGAAATCCTTTTCAGCGAAGGAACTTTTAGAAATAATATTTGATATTGAAGACAACAATATTGTTTGTGAAGAATTAGAGAAGAAAGGTAAGTTAATTAATTTCCACAATTACAAACTCATCATATCACATGGATTCGCCTAATCCACCATTCCAGATGAGTTCAGAAAAAAATTCTAATTTTTATTCTTGAAAATTTCTATTTTTTATTCTGAAAATAACATATAGCATTAGATAAAATTGTAAAGTATTTTACAATTTATTTTTTTCTTCTAGACGACCCAGTTGTTCAAACAGACAACCTTGTGATAAAAGAAAATGAAGAACTCCGGAAGTCGACATACTGTCGGAAGTGTTCGACTGGTTTTGCTTCGGTCGTCTTTCTTCCTTGTGGACATTTGTGTACATGCACTGACTGTGCACCATCTATTAAGCATTGCTTGTTGTGTGATCAGTTCATTAAGGGCACAGTTCGCACTTATCTGGCTTAGTATAATTATGAAACATTTGCTTGACATTTTTTATTTTGATAAAGAAATGGAGAACCTTCTGAAACGGGCGTTTACATACTGTTCACTTTAAAATTCTTATGTTTCTTTTTAAAAAAAAAACTAATATGCAAATAATTATACGGGGAAATGTAATGTAAATGACTATGAAACTGTATTGCACTTAGTGTTGATGGTCTTTTACGAGGGGTGATCAAAAAGTTCGCGAACTATCTCTATATCTACAAAACCACAATTAATTCAGATTAGAATAAAATTTGGTACACACATAGCAAGATATATAAATAACGTATGCTGTATAAAGTTGCTCCTTGTTTCTTTTATGGAAGTAATTCAATTAGTTCGCTAAGTTTTTGATCATCCCTTGTATACATTGTACTACAGATAGTGTTTACAGACGGTCATACATATACATTTGTATTAGATGGAGTTTTATTGATGAACAAGGCAATGCATTATAGACAAAAGGTCAACATATACTGCAATTCCGATTTATTTCAGGTAGCAGTATCTAATCACTCTCAAATAACATGATATGTACTGCAGTATTTTGTTTTAACTCCTTACAGCAGATTTATATCTAACTTAAACAAAATACTCACCAATTGTCCAAATTTGTCTACTTCATAATTATTATATTCAGATCCACATTTACGAATATTAATTTCTGAAGAAAACAGGGAAAAGAGAAATCCCTTTTAAATGATTATGTCATTTGTATTGATCTTATTCATTAGAACTTGTATAAGTTATAATTAGTACAGTTATATTTTGTTTTGTATAATGATGGTTTTATCCTAATGAGGAAACTCAGGAGGACAGAAATGCTGTACATGTTAGAATATTTTTTTTAATAATGATAATTAAAGTTTTCTGATTCCGGATTCAGATAAATCTTACATTAAAATTAAGATATACCACATATTTTGTTCTAAAAACTATAAGAGGGTGTCTTGCGATATGATTTCAAAGTTCTTTTCTTTGCATCAATTAAATATGTCATATTTACTTGTTAACTAGTATTAGAGTTTTAGCTGTATAAATTATAACTAATTAGGCATTTAAGGAATACATATCACAGATATAGAAAAGTTACTGTCTTGGATGAAGGTACGTGGGAAGATAAGTAAATCCTTTTTATCGTATTGTGTATATTTTATTGCTTTTATAATTATAAGTTTATGCGGTGCATATTTTCATTTCAATAAATGATACATTGTTTTTGTATGGTTTTTTTTTTCTACGAGTTATTTATTTCCATTATTCACCATTTTGGAGGTCATAATAATTAAATAACCTGTTAGATATTTGAAGAAAAAATGTGAAAAAAATATCTAAATTTAGGCATCGATTATTTAAAAAAAAATCTTTTTTATTTAACTATATAAATTTTGAGCAGAGCGAACACGTACATCTGACAACAGAGATGGGATCAATAGTCATGAGTGAGTAAGCATCCCATCCGGCCAGTCACACCAACAGTGTGCTCCTTATCATGATCAGGTACACTGAGAAATCTGTACACTATTCAGTGTAAAACTAGGACATAAAAATACTGTATGAAAGACGCAGGTCAACATTTGACTTAAAGCATTGCAAATTAAATTTGCTAAAAAGGTTATTGTACGTATACGTCAACCATAAAAAACAATCAAGGCATGAATAAGGAAAGTAGAAGTCATCACATTTATCATAAAGATATCAGTTTATCATTAATATATTTTTCTAGTAAAGCATTCAAATAAGAAACATATATCAGATTCAGTAGGTCCTTTATTTCGAGATCAATGGGATATATAATATTTGAAACTTGGGATTATCAATTGATAAAAACGTTCTTTTTAATGTCAATTTGAAGGTCACAACAATACTACTTGATTTTTGTGGAAGTTTTTGAATACATTCTGCTTAATATAAATAAGAGAGGGTTTGCAAAGAATGAGGCGCAAATTATGCTCAAGGAGTTCTAATGGAAGACATGGTCTCCGATATTTTCAAAGAGAAACACGAGCACCCTGTCAATATCAATATGAAAATTTTGATATTAGAAAGAGAATTATGAGTGAAAGAATAAAACAGACTTTAACGAACGTATATATTTCTTCAAATGAAAAATAAAAAAAAAAAAACCTGTTTCAAACCTTAATGGTAACCGTATGACTACACACTTGTATATAATTCTACATTTTGCAATGTTAATTTAAAGTGCTATTTAGTTGAAGGAATTGTTGAAACATAAACCCGCAAAATATAATCTGATGCAAGAAAAAGAACTTTATTTGGGAGAAAACATTGATATGATACTAATGAAAAAGAAACATCTCAAACATCTGGTACGAATGTTCTGGTTTTCCACATAGCTTACTCAGAACCATCAGTTCTACAGTACGGGAAGGCTGTGGCGGTTACACCGTAGTATGTTCCCTTGGCGCCTTTAGTGGTGTCGTACCCCCAGAACACACACTTGGTACGGCTACATTTGGATGCCAGAAATTTCTTAAAGGTACATTCACAGGCTCTTAACTTACAGTTGTCTCTAATAGATTCTACGTAGTACGCCACTGCTTTTAGATGTCCACAGGCTTTTCCAAAAGTCGCCTCTGAAGAGATAAAAAAGTAGATTAAATTAAAGATCCCCAAAGGAATGTTTTAATGTAAGCATAGTTAGTCCATTATAAAAACCAGTATGTAAATGAGATCTTACTTTTAAGCTTATGGATCCTGACGGGTTTTTTCGGGTTATAGGTGCACCCTGGTTGCCGCCTTCCGCCATTGACGTAGATGTCCAGATGGCCACATGGTCTTCTCATTCCATAACCTTCAAAGATGAAGTCTCTGTAAGCAACTACCAGTTGAAGGAAATACTGTAGTCACTCCTCTATTAATCTGTCTGTTCTAAATGGTTTTCAGACACTTTCTACAAATATACTTATTGAGTGAAACAAAAGTTCATTAAACAATACAAAATAGGAACAGAGCCAACACAGACCCCCAAATCATCGGAGATGGGATCAGGTGCCATGGAGAAGTATGCATCTCCTGCCGACCGGTCATACCCGTCGTGTGCTCCTTGTCATGATCGGTAAATGACAGAAAAACCCGTAGTCACTGCAGTGATTTTAAAACAATAAAACTTTCATTTCGTGTCTAAAGGAATTATGGTTCATGCAGATAATAATTCATTGATAAGGTACTTGCATTTTCCAGATTTGATATAAGTAAATTAAAGTTGGAGGGTAACATATCAAATGTGCCCTTTTGTGACAAAATGACGACCCTTGCGAGATTATATCTTTTATAATGATAGAAGTTCAACAATTTATTAAATAGGTTTAGCATTCCAAGATATTTATTGGTTCCATCACATGATATAAAACAGAATTCAAATACTACATAGAAGAGAAGAAATCTGCTTTCGCCCTCATTTTAACATTGTAATATTATGGACAACGTTTTATCTATTAAAAATATCGATTTTCATTACTACGTTTATTCGATATATATCTGAACTCCCACACACAAAAAAGTTTAAATAGTAATTTAACAACAAATTTTATGAAAAAGATGATGACTTCAATTTTTCCAACGTCAAATCTCCTTATAACGGTAGCAATATACATTCATCACTTACACATGAATTTTATGGAAGATAAAATGAGACAATACCAGGTAACAAAATCATATCAAAGTCCGTCACCATATTATAAATACTCACCAAAAGGTCTAGCGTCTGTATGGATGATGTCCACAAACTGGGCACTTCCTTTGTTAATTGCAAACGTAGAGTTTTCAAACAAGGGACTTGCTGGGTCCAATCCTATATAGTAAAAATTCAAATAATTATTGATATGGACTTTTTAAAAATATATTTTGGTTGATTGATTTTTGTTGAGCTTGTGAAAACTATATATTTTTTTCATTAAATATGTAATGTTTGAAATAAAGTGTGTCTAAAAAATAAAATTGACATTTAAGATACAAAAAAAAAA